TCTCCGTGCCCGGCTCTGCCCGGGCAGATCCCACCGAAATCCAAGGGGAAAATGGAAATGACAAAGGGCGGCGGGATGCGGAGCTGCTGGAGGATTCTGCCCCGGACGTCCTTGGCTCCTCACGTACGGAGCCAGATGCTTCCTCCCCCTGCCCGAGCACCTGCATCCAGGAGGGGGCTGTGCCGGAGAAGCCCTTTGGGATGAGCGAAGCCATAGAAATGTAAATTAAATTATTTACCTACTCCCAGTTAAACGCTCTGCCCTTCTGGCCAAGGAGGATGGCGGTGGGATGGGGTGGGCTCCAGAACCCGCTCAGCTCTTTGTGTAAAATTGCGGGGAACTTTGGGGAGTAACCTATCGGGAAAAAAATTATCTGAGCAAACAAGGGAAAAAGGAAAAAAAAAAAAATCTCAGTTTTGGTGCTTTGCACAATGCTCTGTGGGGCCGCAGGGCCGGGGATTCCTCACCCAGCGCTGCCCAGAGCTTGATTATTATTGTTATTCCTCCCTTTTTCTTTTTTTTCACACATAAGGAAGGACCCGAAATCAATCACAGGGCAGAGGGAGCAGCGTTTTAAAGGGAAAGGCAGAGACACAGCAGCGTCCCTGGAGCCGCCAGAGCCAAAAACGCCATTTCAGGGTTTAAATCTCGCTGCAGTTTTAGCCGGGGGCAGCTGCGGGGAGGGAATGGCTCCAAATGCACCCCGGGCTCCTTCCCTGGGGCTGCTGCAGCCTTCCAGGAATTGGCGTTTCCTGCTGCCCGCGGCTCGGGGGCGGCCCCGGGCACCCCCGGCCCCCAAATCGGAGCCTCTCGTCCCCGTGGGTGCTGGCGCGGGCCCGTTCGGAGAAGGCAGACCGACAGACGGCTCCGTTTGTCCGTGCGGGGTTGGGCTCTGCCGAGCCGGCCGTGTGCGCGGCGCTGTCCCCGCACCGACGCCTCCCTCCTTGCCGGTGAACGGGGCTCGGTCACTGCCGTGCTCCTTCCCTGCCGGTGAACGGGGCTCGGTCACTGCCGTGCTCCTTCCCTGCCGGTGGAACGGGGCTCGGTCACTGCCGCGCTCCCTCCTTGCCGGTGAACGGGGCTCGGTCACTGCCGTGCTCCCTCCTTGCCGGTGAACGGGGCTCGGTCACTGCCGTGCTCCCTCCTTGCCGGTGGAACGGGGCTCGGTCACTGCCGCGGTCCCGCCGGCCCTTGGGCCGTGAATCACCGCGGACCGGGGCACTTGGGGCACATTAGCGAATTAATTAATTAATTAACCCGAGCGGCCGGGGAGGAGGGAATTACCGGGCATTGCTGAGATGGGAGATGGGAGATGGAGCCGGGGTCACAGCGCCCACCCGGGACAGCCACCCCGGGGTCCCCTGCCCACAGGGTCACCCTGATCCCACCGCAGCCTCCCTGCGCCCGTGCCCGGCCAGCGGGGAATGGAAATGAGCTGGGGACGTTTCTGCGAAGCCAAACCCAACGGGTGGCAGCTTTTAAAGGCGGTGACTTTGAGCTCAGCTCGTGCTCGCCCTGCATCATTTCCCTCCCGCACCGCAGTGCAGCCTCCGCCGCTCCCTCGTGTCCCCTCCGTGCTCCGGTGGGCCAGGGGGCACTGGCCCCGCGGGCACCAGGTGGCTCCAGCGCCGTGACCAGGGTGGCTCCAGCCCTGTGACCATGGTGGTGACCCCAGCCCTGTGGCCATGGTGGTGACCCCAGCCCTGTCACCAGTGTGGCTCCAGCGCTGTGACCATGGTGGTGACCCCGGCCCTGTGACCATGGTGGTGACCCCAGCCCTGTGGCCATGGTGGCTCCAGCGCTGTGACCATGGTGGCTCCAGCGCTGTCACCGCGGTGGTGGCTCCAGCCCTGTGACCACAGTGGTGACTCCAGCCCTGTCACCAGGGTGGCTCCAGCCCTGTGACCATGGTGGCCCCAGCCCTGTCACCAGGGTGGCCCCAGCGCTGTCACCAGCGTGACCCCAGCTCTGTCACCATGGCAGCTTCAGCCCCGTGGCCAGGGTGGCTCCAGTGCCGAGTCACGGTCGGAGCAGGGCTCAGCCTCCCCGCGGTGCTGACAGCTCGTTAATTAATCCCGTTAATTGCGCCGTGAGCGGCCCCGCAGCCTCCCCGGCCCTGCCGAGCCCGGTGTCATCGGTGCTGCCGCAGCCCGGCCCGGGTTCCCCGGGAATTGCGGCCTGGCCCGGGTTCCCCGGGAATTGCGGCCCGGCCCGGGGTTCCCCCGGAATTGCGGCCCGGTGCCGCCGGTGCCGGGCTCGGAGCGGGACCGGCAGGGTCGAACCCTGCCCTGAGCTCCAGCAGCTCCGGCCCGAGCCCCTGCCGCCAACGCGGCTCTCCCAGCAGCAGGAGAAGCCCCGAGCAGCCGAGCGAGCCCTCGCTGCTCGTGTCGTGCTCGTTAAATGCGGCAGAAATCCCCTCCCGCCGCCCGCCCGGGGCCCTGGCGCAGCTGGCAGCGCTGTGTGTGCCCTACAGACGGCTCGGAACGGCTCGGAACGGCTCGGAACGAGCGCATCCATCCCGGAGCTGTCGCAGCCCGGGGCCCCCGCCGTTCGTCCGGCCCGGCCCGGCCCGGCTCCGTCCATTTTCCGTGGGGAAAACGCCGAATTTGGGGCCGCAGGAGCGGCTCCAGCCTGGGAAAGCCCGGGGCCGGCTGGCAGCTCACCCTGCTGCTGTCCCTCGCCCCAAAGACTTTACAGCCAACATCTTCTTTTTAATTCCGACACCCGCAAAATAGCAGCTGAAATAACCCTGCTGTATGTCAGCTGCTGATGGAAGGAGATTAAATATTAAAGCCAGTGCTGTGGCTTTAACTCATTCCATTTTTTTCCCTACTCTTCCCCCCCTGCTCTCCCCCTCTGCTTCCCCTCTCTGTGTAAAATGACATGATTTAGAGCCCAAGTGCCAGACTCAGCCTCTGGGTTTCGGCGTTTGGAAATGTGTGCAGAAAGATATATTGTGTCTGTGAGCATTTCTGCGCAGGGAAGGAGAGAGCTCCCGAGCTGTGAGCCCACATAAAGATGTTAAATAGAGCTGTAACGCGTGCCCGACGCACGGAAAGTGCCGGGGAAAAAAAAGAAAAAAAATTAGGGAAAAAAAAAAAATCCGGCAATGAAGGAAAATGAAAGATTAAAATAAACCTGGCGTTGGCGAGGCCGGGCTGGGGCTGGCGGGGGAGACGTGACCCTGCTCTGCGCCTCCCGCCCTTCCCTCCCTGACCCAAAAATCACATTTATTTAGCACAAAACGGAGCGGGAGAATTGGGGATTTTCTTCTTTTTCATTTTTCCCCAGCCCCCGTCTCAGGTGCTCAGATTTCCGACGCCGCCTGCCTGCTCAATATTCAAATATTCATCCCAGCCCCGCACAAAAGCCGGGTTTATTTCCCTCGCTTCACCCCGTCCCAGCAGGGTCCCACCTCGGGCAGCCGAATCCCATAAACCCAGCGATTTTGGGGCCAAAACCATGGAAAAATGTGGGTGTCCCTTCCCGTGCAGGGCCCCTCGGCCGGCGCGATCCGGGGCAATTCCCAAATTCCCGAATTCCCTCACTCCTGCTCCTTTGTTCTGAGCGTTTCGGGGCCGCCAGGATCTGGGGAAGCTCCTCGGGGTTTGTGGGAGGCTGGAGCAGAGCAGCGGGGTGGAAAAGCTGCCCGGATCAGGCAGGTTTTGGCCAAGCTGCCGAGAAGTTTAATTTGGGGTTTATTTGGGGTTTATTTGGGGTTTGGTTACGGAGCGGAGCTGAGGGAGGCAGCGGGGGTTCAGTCCGTGCCTGGAGCTCCACTGGCAAAAACCTCTTGGCTCTTCTCCCTCCAGCTCCGATTCCTCTGAATTTGAGCCCAAACCACGGGCGGCCAGCAGAGCACCTGGAGAGCTCTGAAGGACGCTCAGTGTGTGTGACCCCCCTGTCCTTGAGCCCTTGAGGGGAGCAGGGGCTGGCGCTGGCTGCGCCCCAGGTCTGGGTGTCCCCAGGTCTGGGTGTCCCCCAGGTCTGGGTGTCCCCTTCCACCGAGGGATTGTCCCCTGCCACTGCGGGATTGTCCCCTTCCATCGAGGGATTGTCCCCTGCTATTGAGGGGCAGAATTGTCCCCTTCCATCGAGGGATTGTCCCCTGCTATTGAAGGAATTGTCTCCTTCCATCGAGGGATTGTCCCCTGCCATTGAGGGGCAGAACTGTCCCCTGCCACTGTGGGATTGTGCCCCCTGTGCTCAGCTCGAAACTCAGATTTATTTGCTCAAACAGCAGAGCCGTAAATAAAGCCGTGGGGAGGCCCCCGGTGGGTGTCACGCTGGAGCAGCCCCACAGGAACAGGTGGCTCTGGGTGGGATTGGGCTGCCATGCCTGGAGAGGGAAGGGGAAGGGGCAGGAATGTAGGAATGTGCTGCTGCTGCTTTGCTGCTTTGCTCCTGCTCTGCTTTGCTGCTGCAGCGTTTCCATGCCCGGGGCGCTGCAGAGCCCGGCCCGTTTGTCGCAGTCTATTAGGAGAGACGCAATCCATCCTGAGCTTTATGGGGCTGTGCTTTAACCCCATCCGTGCCTCGCTCCCCCTGCTCAGCCTCGCTCCCGCCTTTGTCTGCCTCTCCCGGCCCCACAGCCAGCCCCAAGCCCTCCCTGGGGTTTCCACCGTCCCCAGGCGCTCCCCGAGGGTCGGGGTCTGTCCTGCAGCCCTCCCTGCAGCGGGGTTCACCTGCTCCCCCTGAGGCTCCACCTGGGGGCTGCCTCTGCCTCGCCCCACGCAGGAAGAGTTGCCCAAACTGCACTGAATTCCCCCCTTACTCAGCCAGCGGCAGAGTGGGAATTTTGGGGTTCAGAATTTCCATGCATTTACCCCTAACCCTGTCCCCTGCTCCCACAGCCCTGTCCCCTTCTGTCCCCTCTCCCACAGCCCTGTCCCCTTCTGCCACCCCTGAATCCCCCGCTCCCTCAGTTCCAGCCCAGCGCAGGTCTGGCTGTAAAACCCCGCGTGCGTTTATTCCCCATTTTGTAAACGGTTTCATTGCAGAGGTTCACAAACGAGGACCACCTGGCGGTCCATAAACACAAGCACGAGCTGACATTGAAATTCGGCCCCGCTCGCACCGACTCCGTCATCATCGCAGGTATGAGCCCGGCCCGGCCCGCCGAGATTGATGCCAGGCACCAGCTGCACTGCAAAGCCCATAAAACCTCCTGTGATCTGCATTTAATCAGGCCCAGAGCAAAGCCAGAGGCTTCCAAGTTTTTTCTTTTTTTTTCTTTTTTTTATGGTAGTATCAGGTTTTGTGGGGTTTGGGTTTGTTTTTTTTTTTTTTAATTTTTTTTTTTTTAAGCTCTCGCCCTTTTTTATTAAAGGCTGGAGGATTTATGGCCAGAAGGGCTTTCACGTCTCTGCGTGTGCTTTGAGGACGATGAACCACCCCTGACAGAGCAGCTTCCCCTCTCAGCCCAGGTGTCAATTTTCCTGAGCCTTTAGGAAGCTGCAGTTAATAAATTAAAGCCCCACGAGCTCTGCGGGAGCTCCCACAGCCTCTGTAAAATTGGGGGAACCCAAACCCCACAAATCTCAGAGCAGAGAGGCCCCCCCGAGTCCCTCCTGTCCCTCTGCGTCCCTGCTGGGTGACCAGAGGGGTTTTAGGGAAAACAAAACAAAACAAAACCAAAGCAAAGCAAAGCGCTGCAGCATCCTGGCACCTCCCTCCTTCCCCGCTCATCTCCAGCCCCGAGCCGGGGCTGAGGCAGGCAGTGGGAGCTCAGCTGGCTCTGAAGGTTTGGGTGAATTGTGGCTGTGGGCTGAATTCATTCCCACTGGGAATTTCAGAATTGCTCTCCCTGGCAAGCATGAAACGCTTCAGGAGCACAAGGAACAAGGTCACCCCTGACACTCAGGGGACTGCTCTGGGGTAAAACACACAAAAAAACCCCAAACAAACCCAATTTATCCACAGCCAGTCCAGGACCAGCTACACCCCCCAAACCAGTGCAGGCCCCGTGCCTCTGGCACAGACAGGGGGAGTGAGGGCTGTAAAACCCTGCTGGCTGTGAGCAGAGAGTCTGGGCCTGTTCCTGCCTGAAATTCCATTTATCCCAGGCTTTTCTGAGCCACCATTTTGTCTCTGGGATTTTTTGGGACCATTTTGTCCCTGGGATTTTTCTTTACCGTTTTATCTCCTGGATTTTTTGGGACCATTTTCTCTCTGGGATTTTTTTTGACTCTTTTCTCTGTGGGATTTTTTGGGACCATTTTGTCCCTGGGATTTTTTGGGACCATTTTTTCCCTGGGATTTTTTGGGACCATTTTTTCCCTGGGATTTTTTGGGACCATTTTTTCCCTGGGATTTGTTGCTCCCTCCGTGCCTCCCGAGCTGTGTGGCAGGAGCAGGAGCTGCTCAGGCGGGGCAGGACAGGAGCAGGGAGGCTCCAGGGTTTGTTTTCACAGCCTGGCAGTGTCTGCAGCAGCTCGGGAGGGCAATGCTGGGCAGGAATGGTCCCAGAGGAGCCCTGTTAGAGCCAGCACAGGCCCAGCACAAACAGCTCCTGCAGGGAGATCGGGATGATGGAGCTCTGGGTGCCCAGAGGGGGAGTTTCCTTCAGGGCCAGCCCAGCAGAGGGAGGGTTTGGGGCTGAATCATCCCGGGGATGCTCTTTGTGCTGGAAAATCCCAGTGTTTTCCTGGGGAATGGACCCTCGGGTGGGATTCCCATGGAGCTGGAGGCTGCCTGCAGCAGGGAGGCTCCTCAGGCTCTTCTGGGCTGGGTGATGGCCAGAGAGGCCAGGACTGGGTCTGAATGGGGTGGGGAACAGGACTGGGCCTGAATGGGCTGGGGAACGGGACTGGGTCTGAATGGGGTGGGGAACGGGATTGGGTCTGAATGGGCTGGGGAACGGTCCCACAGGAATTGCCCTGGGCTTCAGAGCTGGCACAAGGAAGGGAGCATTCCCAGGGAATCACTGTGGGATTCAGAGCTGGCACAGGGAGGGCAGGGAGCATTCCCAGGGAATCACTGTGGGGCTCAGAGCTGGCACAGGGAGAGGAGCATTCCCAGGGAATCACTGTGGGATTCAGAGCTGGCACGGGGAGGGCAGGGAGCATTCCCAGGGAATCATTTTGGGATTCAGAGCTGGCACGGGGAGGGCAGGGAGCATTCCCAGGGAATCACTGTGGGATTGGGAGCTGGCACAGGGAGAGGAGCATTCCCAGGGAATCACTGTGGGATTGGGAGCTGGCACGGGGAGGGCAGGGAGCATTCCCAGGGAATCATTTTGGGATTGGGAGCAGGCACGGGGAGGGCCGAGGCTCTGCCCAGCCCTGGGGCTGCTCTCCCCTCTCGTCACTCCCTGTGTTGATGATTTCAGGGAGATCCCACTCCCGATTTTCCGTCCTTGTCCAGCTGAGGACGGGGCAGACCCGAGGTGGGAGGGACGGGAATCCCACAGCCAGGAGCTGACAGAAATCCTCTCCCTGCAGTGATTATTCCCCAAACACCAGAGGAACAGAACCAGCACGGAATGAGTGTCCCCGTTCCAGAGTGTCACTGGCTGTCCCCAGGGTGGCACCCACAGTCCCCGGGCTCCCCACTCAAGGACTGGGGTGGGAAAATGGGGTTTTGGTTTTTTGGGTTTTTTTGCTCTCCCTGACCAATTCTTGGTGTTCCAACCCGACCCAGATCAGACCCCGACCCCGACGCGGTTCCTGAAGAACTGTGAGGAGGTGGGGCTGTTCAACGAGCTGGCCAGCTCCTTCGAGCACGAGTTCAAGAAAGCTGCTGAGGAGGATGAGAAAAAGGCAAGGGGCTGCCCTGGGAGGGACCGGGGCGCTGCTGGGGGAGGCACAGGCCCGGGGGAGGATCCGCTGCCCTGTGGGGTCTCGTTTGTGTAACTCGGGTGCCTTCGGCTGCTCTTCCCGCTGAGCCCGGCCTGCCGAGAGCACATTTAATGGTTTATTATTCCTTTGGCTTTGCACCTCGAAAAAGGGGGGAACAGAGAGGGGGAGAGCCCAAAATACCTGACAGGGAAGGAGCTGCAGGAGCCGGGGAGGGAGCAGAGCCCGCTCGGGGCCGGGATGCGGCAGGATCGAGCCCTGGAGGGGCAGGCACGGGCTGGGGGCTCCGGGGTGTCCGTGCCAGCACGCCCGGAGCCGGCGGCTCGGTGCAAACGAGCAGCAGCTTGCGCTAACAAAGAGCCCCGCGCTCCGCCAGCGCCATCGATCCCGGCTGCCCCCGCAGCCCGGCGAGCGCCAGGGGCTGAAGGACAACGGGATCTCATCAGAAAGCGGCTAATTAAGGACATTTGCAGCCCCCGCCCTCCCCGCTCGCCGGGCGGGAGCAGCAGCAGATGCGTGCCGGGCGCTCAGCCTGGCACATACATTTACTAAATTGATCTATGGCCGCGCATACGCTCGCAGCCAGCGGCGCTGCTCGGAAATAAACTGCGGGAGCCGAGCCGCGTAAATCTTCCCGAGATGGGGAACGGAGGAATTCAGAATTAAAACTGAAACCTGCCTTCCCAGCCGCTCCCCCCCTCGCCAATAACAGGCTCTTTAAACCGAAATTGATCTCTCTCATTGGTATGCGGCTGCGGCAAAGGCTCCTGCCCTTTGTTCTGGAGCGGGGAAGGGAGGCAGGAACAGGCAGGGATGGGGGGCAGGAACAGGCAGGGATGGGGGGCAGGAACAGACAGGGATGGGGGGCAGGAATAACCGGGGATGGGGGGCAGGAATAACCAGGGATGGGGGGCAGGAATAACCGGGGATGGGGGGCAGGAACAGCCGGGGATGGGGGGCAGGAATAACCAGGGATGGGGGGCAGGAATAACCAGGGATGGGGCGCAGGAACAGCCGGGAATGGGGGGCAGGAACAGACAGGGATGGGGGGCAGGAACAGGCAGGGATGGAGGCAGGAGCAGCCGATGAAGGGGGGCAGGAGCAGCCGGGAATGGGGTCAGGAGAGGCCCGGGATGTTCGCCCACAGCACCCCCGAGCAGCCTAAACACTTGTGAGAAACGGCTCTGAAATATTCCTCACGCTATTCCCCGCACGGGGAGCTCGGCTGCTAGGGAGGGGACTGTCCCTGCTCAGCCCTGTCCGGCCAGGCCAGCTGGTCACTCGCTGGTCACTCGCTCACTCGCTGGTCACTCGCTGGTCACTCGCTGGTCACTCCCTGGCCGGGCTGAGCTCCCGCTATTGTGTTCGTCCTCCCCTTTGCGAGGGTGGTCCCGCTCCAGCGCCGTTAATTAAAACCGCGGGCACAGCGGGAGCGTCCCCGGGGGCGCTTTAAGCGGCTCGAGCGTTGCTGCGCGTTAATCCCGGCTCTTTGTGATCCCCCAGCCGCGGCCGTGCTCTGAAAGGGCAGGAAAATGGGTATGAGGGCAGGTAAATGGTGATTGCTGACCCCCTTAGAGGGCAGGAAAATGGTGATTGCTGCACCTACAGCCGGGCTGTGTCCTTAGAGGGCAGGTAAATGGGTATAAGGGCAGGTAAATGGTGATTGCTGCACCTAGAGCCGGGCTGTGCCCTGAACGGGCAGGTAAATGGGTATAAGGGCAGGTAAATGGGTATAAGGGCAGGTAATTTGGTTATTGCTGCATCTACCAACAGCAGACCCACCCAGGGGAGCCACCCGGGGGTCTGGAGCTGTGTCCCGTGTGAAATACCCCAAAAGGAGAGGCTGGAGCTCTGAAATACCCCAAACTGAGGGGCTGGAGCTGCATCACCCCATGGGCTGGATGGAGGGATAGATGGAGGGGTGGATGGATGGATGGATGGATGGATGGATGGATGGATGGATGGATGGATGGATGGATGGATGGAAGGATGGATGGATGGATGGAGGGATGGATGGATGGAGGGATGGATGGATGATGGATGGATGGAGGGATGGAGGGATGGATGGATGGAGGGATAGATGGATGGATGGATGGATGGATGGATGGATGGATGGATGGAGGGATGGATGATGGATGGATGGATGGAGGGATGGAGGGATGGATGGAGGGATGGAGGGATGGAGGGATGGATGGATGGATGGATGGATGGATGGATGGATGGATGGATGGATGGATGGAGGGATGGAGGGATGGATGGAGGGATGGATGGAGGGATGGATGGAGGGATGGATGGATGGAGGGATGGATGGAGGGATGGATGGAGGGATGGATGGATGGAGGGATGGATGGAGGGATGGATGGAGGGATGGATGGATGGAGGGATGGAGGGATGGATGGAGGGATGGATGGATGGATGATGGATGGATGGATGGATGGATGGATGGATGGATGGATGGATGGATGGAGGGATGGATGATGGATGGATGGATGGAGGGATGGATGATGGATGGATGGATGGAGGGATGGATGGAGGGATGGATGGATGGAGGGATGGATGATGGATGGATGGATGGAGGGATGGAGGGATGGATGGATGGATGGATGGAGGGATGGATGGATGGATGGATGGATGGATGGAGGGGTGGATGGATGGATGGATGGAGGGATGGATGGTCGGTCCCTGACTGGTTCCACTGGGCCACGTGGCTCTGCTGGATCCCAGGGTGGTGGCAAGGGGCCAAGTCCAGGCATATGGTTGGGTTTTATTTTAATGGGGCGCTCATAGATATTTAATAACTTGCATGGCTCTTTGTTTGCTTTTGATAATCGGGTAATAAAATAATTCAGGCTGATTTATACAATGTTTTACAGCTCTTCTGTGAATGAAAGTGCCTCCTGTAACTCGCAGGCATTTGGCTGGGGTACCTGTTCTCCTTAGCAGGGCCCTTTTTATACCAGAAATCCCAATAAAGCCCGGGGAGCAGTGCTGTGTGTTACTGAGACCCCAAAGTGCTGCCAGCTGGGGCTGGGCTGCAGCAGCCCCGTGCTCTGCCCCGGGCTCCCAGAGGCTGCTTCAGTGCAAATAAATCACAATGATGATGATAATAATAATAATAATAATAATAATAATAATAATAACAACGATAATAAATTGGCAGGGCTGGGGGCCTGAGCCTCCAACTCAGGGAGCAGAGAGCGCTTGGCAGGCAGTGTGAGATGGGGGCTCCTTCTGGGCTGTCTGTCCCTCCCAGTCTGTCTGTCCGTCCCGGGCTGTCTGTCCCTCCCAGTCTGTCTGTCCCTCCCCAGGCTGTCTGTCTGTCCCTTCCGGGCTGTCTCCCTCCCCAGGCTGTCTGTCTGTCCCTTCCGGGCTGTCTGTCCCTCCCCAGGCTGTCTGTCCCTCCCAGTCTGTCTGTCGCTCCCGGCTGTCTGTCCGTCCCGGCTGACTGTCCGTCCCTCCCCGCAGAGCTCGGGGGCCCTGGACATGTCGCTGCCCTCCACCCCGGAGGTCAGGGTCAAGGAGGAGGAGCCGCTCGAGGTGGATTCGTCGCCGCCCGAGAGCCCCGCGGCGCGGCCCCGCTCGCCCCCGCACCGGGACAGGGACAGGGACAAGGTGGGGACCCGGCCGGGCTCCTCGGGGCCTGACTGGGGCCTTTTGAGACCTGAGTTGGGCCCCCGAAGGGACAGAGGGGCTGGAGCTGCACCCCTGTCTAAAGTACCCCACATGGAGGGGCTGGAGCTTCTAAAACATCCTGAGCTGAGGGGCTGGAGCTTCTAAAACATCCTGAGCTGAGGGGCTGGAGCTTCATCTCCCTCTCAGACCCCCCAAATGCAGGGCCTGGAGCTTCAGCCCCCTCTCAGAGCCCCCAAATGGAGGCGCTGGAGCCAATGCCCCCTCTCAGACCCCCCAAATGCAGGGGCTGGAGCTTCAGCCCCCTCTCAGACCCCCCAAATGGAGGCGCTGGAGCCGATGCCCCCTCACCATGTGGCATGGCTGATGTGCTGCCCCGGGTTTGTGTGGTGGGGGTCTCTGGAGGCTGCAGCAGGCAGAGCCGTGGCAGAGCCGTGGCAGAGCCGTGGCAGAGCCAGCAGCCCCTGTCGTGTGTTCTGCCCCACAGGAGGGCCCCCCCAAGGCCGTGATCCTGTCCACCCCCACGCCCACCATCGTGCGCCCGGGCTCGCTGCCGCTGCACCTGGGCTACGACGCCCTGCACGCCGCGGCCACGCTGCCGTCCCCCACCTCGGTCATCACCCAGGCACCGCCCTCCAGCCGCCAGCTGGGGTGAGTATTGGGGGCAGCCATTCCGGCCGGGAATCCCCGGAGGGCCAGGGGGAGCTGGCACAGTGGGGCTGGCACGGCTGGCACGGCTGGCACAGCTGGCACTGCCATGGCCCGCACAGTGGTGCAGAGCTCTGCAACTCTCCCAGGACAGTGCTGCAGTTTTGGAGATCTCCCAGGGCAGTTTTGCAGCCCTGTTGTTGTGTTTTGCAGCCCTGTTGTGGTTTTGCAGCTGTCCCAGGGCAGTTTTGCAGCCCTGTTGTGGTTTTGCAGCTGTCCCAGGGCAGTTTTGCAGCCCTATTGTGGTTTTGCAGCCCTGTTGTTGTGGTTTTGCAGCCCTGTTGTGGTTTTGCAGCCCTGTTGCTGTGTTTTGCAGGTCTCCCAGCTCCTCCCTCCCTCTCGTCGTGCAGCTCGCCAATGGCCAGACCATGCCCGTGCTGCCCGGGCCCCCCGTGCAGATGCCTTCTGTCATTTCGGTGAGAGAACCTTCCAGAGCCCTGCCCTGCCCTGCTCACACTCTCCGTGCCTCCCCTCCCAGCCTGGGGGCTGCAGGAGGGGCAGAGGGCAATCAGTCCCTTTGGAAAAACCCAAACCCGTGCCCTGACAGATGGGTGGCACTGCCAGGCCAGGGCTGGGAGCCACAGGGTCCTGAGGAGCCGCTTCCATTGGGAGCAGCTGCTCTGAGGGAAGGGAAGGGAAGGGAAGGGAAGGGAAGGGAAGGGAAGGGAAGGGAAGGGAAGGGAAGGGAAGGGAAGGGAAGGGAAGGGAAGGGAAGGGAAGGGAAGGGAAGGGAAGGGAAGGGAAGGGAAGGGAAGGGAAGGGAAGGGAAGGAGCTGTCCCTTTCTGTGCTCCGCGCTGGGTGATTCTGGGTGGCAGCAGCCGTCAGGGGTGACAGGGGCTGGGCGTTTGCCAGCCCCGCTCTGCCAGAGCTCCCGTGGGGCTGCTCCAGTGCCAGCGCCTCTGTCCTGCTCCCCACAGCTGGCCCGGCCCCTGGCCATGGTGCCCAACATCCCTGGCATCCCTGGGCCCCCCAGCAGCAGCAGCAGCGGCAGCAGCAGCAGCGGGTCCCTGTCGCCCTCAGCGCTCCCAGTGCACTCTGAAGCCAAAATGGTGAGGGGACAGCGGGGCCCTCAGCCTCCAGCAGCTCCTGGCCAGAGAGCCAGGGAAGAGATTTGGCACCAGGCACCCCTGGCTCCCTCGGCACACTCCAGATCCCGCTGTGGGCACTCAGGGACTGGGCTGGACACTGGGCTGGACACTGGGCTGGGCTGGACACTGCCCTCTGGGTCAGACACTGCCGGTGCCCGTGTCCAGCGGGGTGGCTGCAGGGTGGCAGGGGCAGCCGGGGCCCTGGCAGCTCCTCTGATGTGCCTTTTCTGCTGTGCCTTTTTCTCCCCTGGCAGAGGCTGAAGGCCAGCCTGGCAGCCTCCTCCTCGCTGAACGGCAGCAGCCTGGCCGTGGGCTCGGCCAGCACCATGGTGACCGCGCGGCCGGAGCAGAGCCAGGGGGGCCAGCACCCCGACACCCCCTCGCCAGCGCAGCCACAGGTGTGTGTGTGTGTGAGTGTGTGTGTGTGTGTGTGTGCTGCTGCTCTGCTGCTGCTCTGCTGCTGCCCTGGGGCTGGGCAAGGAGCACAAAACCTCCCAGCATCCTCCCTGCGCTGCAGAATGGGTTAAAACCTCTTCATTCCAGGGCTGCTCAGCACTGAGGCACTCCCAGCACACCAGGCAGGGGCTGCAGCCCTGCTTCATCTGCCCGGCAGCCCTGGGAAGGAGCATTTCCCCTCTTCTCCCTGCCCAAATCTGGGTTAAATGCTCCTCGCTCAGGCCATCAGCCGGGCTGGCTCCTGCAGCAGCCAAATGCCAGCAGCCTCCATCAGCGTGGCCACCTGCTCCAGCCCGGCTGGGCTTGCAGAGTTTAATCTCCATATGCTGCACTGGGGCTGGGCTGGCTCTGGTGTGGGGCTGGGCCGGCTCTGTGGGCTGGCCCTGCTCTGTGGGGCTGGGCTGGCCCCGGTGTGGGGCTGGGCTGGCCCCGGTGTGGGGCTGGGGCTGCTCCACTGCCAGCCCTGGCTGCTCTCCTTTTGTTCTCCCCAATAAAACTGGGGCCCTACAAAACCTCCCGTTCCCTGTTGCCTCCCAGAGCTTTTTGGCTGGAGGTTTTGAGGGGAAAATTAATTTTTAAAGCAAATTAGATTCTTAAAAGCCGGGATTTGCTGCTGCCCTGAGCAGCGACCGTGCCGGGCGGTGGCAGTGGGACCGAGCTCCGCTCCGCTCTGCGGTGCCAGCGCCGTGTCCTGCCTGTCCCAGAGCCACTGCTGAGCACAGGCCCTGTCCCCATCCCCTGTCCCCATGTCCCTGTCCCTGTGCCCCATCCCCATGCCCAGCTGTCCCTGTCCTGTCCCCAGGTGTCCCCAGCCCATGCCCAGCTGTCCCTGTGCTGTCCCCAGGTGTCCCCAGCCCGTGCCCAGCTGTCCCTGTGCTGTCCCTGTGCTGTCCCCAGGTGTCCCCAGCCCGTGCCCAGCTGTCCCTGTGCTGTCCCCAGGTGTCCCCAGCCCATGCCCAGCTCTCCCTGTCCCCAGGTGTCCCCAGCCCATGCCCAGCTGTCCCTGTGCTGTCCCCAGGTGTCCCCATCCCCGTGCCCAGCTGTCCCTGTGCTGTCCCCAGGTGTCCCCAGCCCAGCCTGTGCCCAGCTCGGGCGGCCGCAGGCGCCGTGCTGCTGACGAGGATCCGGACGAGCGCCGGCAGCGCTTCCTGGAGCGGAACCGCGCGGCCGCCTCGCGCTGCCGGCAGAAACGCAAGCTCTGGGTGTCCTCGCTGGAGAAGAAAGCCGAGGAGCTGACGAGCCAGAACATCCAGCTGAGCGTGAGTGGGGCACGGGGCTGGTGCAGCCCTGGCATGGGGCTGGTGCAGCCCTGGCACAGCCCTGGGCTTTTGGGACGCTCTGAGGGCTTTTGGGACACTCTGGGGGTTTTGGGAAGCTCTGAGGAGGTTTTGGGACACTCTGAGGGTTTTTGGGACACTCTGAGGGTTTTTGGGACGCTCTGAGGAGTGACTCAGGTCAGTGTGTGTGTCTGTGTGTCCCCTCAGAACGAGGTGACGCTGCTCAGGAACGAGGTGGCTCAGCTGAAGCAGCTGCTGCTGGCCCACAAGGACTGTCCCGTCACAGCCCTGCAGAAGAAGACCCAGGGCTACCTGGGTGAGTGATGGCACCGCCGGGCTGGGCTGGGCTGGGCTGGGAGGGGACTGTCCCCTCAGGCTGTCCCTGTCACCCCCTGTCTGTCAGGGTCACTGCAGGGCAGGGCTGGCACAGCACAGGACCCAGCAGGGAGTGCAGAGTGCAGGGCTGGGCCAGGACACCCTAAAACCCCTCAGAGCCCCCCAGGGCATCCCTGCCCATCCCACTCAGGGGGATCCCCCAGATTGTCCCTGCGACCTTGGGGTGGCACCCGCTGCCATGAGGGCAGCGCCAGGGCAGGGTGGGTGTCCCTGTGTCCCCCAGGTTTGTGTACCCCAGGTTTGTGTCCCTGTGCCCCCCCAGGTCTGTGTCCCTGTGTCCCCCCAGGTTTGTGTCCCTGTGTCCCCCAGGTTTGTGTCCCTGTGTCCCCCGGGTTTGTGTCCCTGTGCCCTCCAGGTTTGTGTCCCTGTCCCCCAGGTTTGTGTTCCCCAGGTTTGTGTCCCTGTGACCCCAGGTTTGTGTCCCCCAGGTTTGTGTCCCCCAGGTTTGTGTCCCTGTGCCCCCCAGGTTTGTGTCCCTGTGCCCCCCAGGTTTGTGTCCCTGTGTCCCCCGGGTTTGTGTCCCTGTGTCCCCCAGGTCTGTGTCCCTGTGTCCCCCGGGTTTGTGTCCCTGTCCCCCAGGGGTGTCTGGCTGCTGTGGCTCCAGCCCAGCCCTGATCACCCCTTGGAAATTCCAAATTTGCTGCTCCACACCAAGGCCAGGCTCCCTCCCTCCACGACATCCTGGAGCTCCATTGCTCATTCTCTGCCATCCCCACCCGGCTGCCTCGGCTTGGCAGTTAAAAGAAAAAAAAAAAAAGGAAAAGGCTCCTTTTTATCTCCTTTTCTTCCCATAATTTTCTCTTTTTTTTAATGCTGGCTGTTTCATTATAACCAAGCCGGGAGCTAAACACGATCTGGGTCCTGCTGCCCTCCCTGCAATGCCAATTCCAGGCTGCTGAGAGGCTTTGGGAGGACGCTGGAGTCCTCTAGTGTTCCTTGGAAAAACGGGAGGATGGGCTGAGAGAGTGGGAACTGCAGGAACACAGGGAGAAAAGGGGGGAAAATTATCTAAAAAATGAAAATTCAGCGTTGTGGGGGCTGTGCCTCGCCCCCTGTCTGGGGCTCTGGGGTCCTGCCCAGCCTGGTGGGGCACAGGGATGGGCTGAGGGGTCCTGGCACAGCCCCTGTCACCCCTGGCTGGCTCTGAGCCCCTCAGTGTCCCCAAATGCCCAAACCCCAGCCCTGCAGAGGGTGGGGGCTCCCCGCTTCTCCCTGCTCATCCCGATTCCCCCTGAGCAGCAGGAATTCATCCACATCTGCAGGCTAAGAATGAGACTCCCCCTCCCCTCTGCCCCTTTTTATGGCCAAGATTTGTGGCCAGGCAGGTCCTGCACAAAGCCCCAGGTCCCTGATGGGGCTGCAGCTGCTCTGGGCACTCTGAGCTTTATTGTAAATGTGCACTCTTGGGGTGCCAGGGCAGGAGATGGCTCTGCTCAACCTTCCCAGCCCAGGACAAGGGAGGGGTTGAGCCCCACGCCTGATTTTTGTTGGGGTTTCACGTGCCACAAACATCCCAGCTCTGCCTTTGTTTGCTCTCCTAAAGGAGGTGGAATTCCCTGCTGGCACCTCTGGGTGCAGAGCTCTGGGTTGTTGGTTTTTGCTGGGGTTTCATGTGCCACAAACATCCCGGCTCTGCCTTTGTTTGCTCCTGCCAAGGGAGGTGGAATTCCCTGCTGGCACCTCTGGGGCATCTGAGATCTCCCAGGTGATCCCCAGGCTCTGCCTCCCAAAATTCTGGAGGAACAAAGGGAAGGAGGGCTCTGCCTTTGTCTGCCCCCGTCCCCTCACGGGGCTGCAAATTCCCCGAAAAACGGAGCAGGCAAAGCCTCGTGATGGGCTCTGATTGATTTTTATGGCTTGGGAAGCAGTAAAGAGCAAAGCAGGTGATTTAGGTAAAAAATGCCCCCCAAAGCCCAGCTCCTGGGCCTGCTGAGGGCATCCTGCTCCCCCTGGCAGGTGGGGAAGGGGCTGCTCAGCCTCGGCTCCAAAACCTGGGGAGAAATTAATTCCTGTTAATGAGGAATGGATGGGCAGGGAAGGAGCGGTGGGATGAAGGCTGTGCCAGTGCTGCCCTCCTCGGGAAGCTGTGCTGCTTCCTGCCTGCAATTGAGGAGCATCCAGCGGCTCCCTGGGATGGGGCTGCAGTCCCAGCAGGGTGGGGAGGGTCCCTGTGTCCCAGCTCCTGCTCCTGTCCCTGTCCTGCCCCCCTATGCCCTGGGGTTGGCTTCTCGCTGCTCCAGGCTGGAGCATCCAGCCCGTTCCTGCTGGTCCCTGATCCTCCTCTGGGCCAGCAGCCCCACTGCCACCCCAAACCAGCCCCATTGCCACCCCAAACCAGCCCCACTGCCACCCCAAACCAGCCCCACTGCCACCCAAAACTGGCACCATTGCCACCCCAAACCAGCCCCACTGCCACCCCAAACCAGCCCCATTGCCACCCCAAACCAGCCCCACTGCCACCCCAAACCAGCCCCATTGCCACCCCAAAGCAGCCCCACTGTCACCCCAAAGCAGCCCCACTGCCACCCCAAACCAGCCCCACTGCCACCCCAAACCAGCCCCACTGCCACCCCAAACCAGCCCCATTGCCACCCGAAACTGGCACCATTGCCACCCCAAAGCAGCCCCATTGCCACCCCAAACCAGCCCCACTGCCACCCAAAACTGGCACCATTGCCACCCCAAACCAGCCCATTGCCACCCGAAACTGGCACCATTGCCACCCCAAACCAGCCCCACTGCCACCCCAAACCAGCCCCATTGCCACCCGAAACTGGCACCATTGCCACCCCAAACCAGCCCCATTGCCACCCCAAACCAGCCCCATTGCCACCCGAAACTGGCACCATTGCCACCCCAAACCAGCCCCATTGCCACCCCAAACCAGCCCCACTGCCACCCCAAACCAGCCCCATTGCCACCCCAAACCAGCCCCATTGCCACCCCAAACCAGCCCCACTGCCACTCCAAACCAGCCCCACTGCCACCCCAAACCAGCCCCATTGCCACCGGAAACTGGCACCATTGCCACCCCAAACCAGCCCCACTGCCACCCCAAACCAGCCCCACTGCCACCCCAAACCAGCCCTGTTCCCCACCCCAAACCAGCCCCATTGCCACCCAAACCAGCCCCATTGCCAAACCCAGCCCATCCCCTGTCCCCCCAGCCCATGCCCTGTCCCCCGTGCTGCCCCTGCTGTCCCTGACCCTCTCCTCTCCTGCTCCTGTCCCACAGAGAGCCCCAAGGAGAGCTCGGAGCCCTCGGGCTCGCCCGCGCCCGTCATCCAGCACAGCTCGGCCTCAGCCGCGCCCAACGGGCTCCGCTCGGCCGCCGAGGCCGTGGCCAGCTCGGTGCTGGCCCACATGGCCGGGCAAAGGACAGAGCTGGCCGTGCCCGCGGCCTCGCCCGTCATCATGGCCCCACAGTCGCACTCTGCCGGCAGATGATGGCCCCGGGCTGGGGGCACCCACACGGACTGAGCACAGCCTGCACCGCCCGCGGGGCGCGGGGCCTTCCCTGTCCTGTCTGGGGCCTGTTCCGAGGGGTGCAGGGCCTTCCCTGTCCTGTCTGGGGTTGTGTTCCATGGGGCACCGGGGCCTTCCCTGTCCTGTCTGGGGTCTGTTCTGAGGGGTGCAGGACCTTCCCTGTCCTGTCTGGGGTCTGTTCTGAGGGGTGCAGGACCTTCCCTCTCCTGTCTGGGTTCTGTTCTTCTGGTTCTGGTTCGGTTTGAGTTAAGGGCGGCTCTGGCGCTTTCCCCCCCAATGGAGCCCCAGGGAGGGCGGGTTCAGGGCTCCTGTGGCTGACACTAAATCTGGGGAGCCCCAGGTGCTGTCCCTGTCCCTGGGCAGGGGGCTGTGGCACTCTGGGGACACTCTGTGCTGTCCCCGGGCAGGGGGCTGTGACACTCCGTACTGTCCCCATGTGCTGTCCCCATGCTGCAGAGGGCACAGGAGGCTGTGACATCCCCGCTGTCCCCGTGCTGCCCCCCAGGCTTGTCCCCACTCCCCACATTGTTGCACCTTCACCAGGAGCCTCCCGGAGCTCTGAGCTCTGGGACCGAGGGCTCCTCCCTGCCCCAGCCCCAGCCCCTGCCCCAGCCATGGGGGAGTTTTGGGAGCCAGGACTGCTCTGGGTTTGTGCCCCAGCAGCTGGGACAAGGGGACAGTGTGGGGCTGGGGACAGTGTGGGGCTGGGGACAGCGTGGGGCTGGGGACAGCGTGGGGCTGGGGACAGGCGTCCCCAGGCGCCCAGGGGCTGCTCCGGGCCGGGCGCTGGGACAGGGACGGCCTGGCCAGGGCTGCTCCTGCATTCCCAGGGAATGGGAGTGGGACAGGCAGGGCCAGCCCGGCTCCCTGGGCAAACCCAAACCCAAACCCAGCCCCAGCCCCGGCTCCCTGGGCAAACCCAAACCCAGCCCCGGCTACCCTGGGCAAACCCAAACCCAGCCCTGGTTCCCTGGGCAAACCCAAACCCAAACCCAGCCCGGCTGCCCTGGGCAAGCCCAGCGCACGCCCTGGGAGCAGCTCCCCCTCACAGACCCCGGTGACCTCAGTAATGGTGGCCTTGAATCAGGGATTGTTCCGAGGGAGGGAGCGGGAACGGGGTCGGGGTTTGGGGACTGAGCCTCTGTCGCTGCCTGGCCGGGGCAGGCAAAGGAGCCACCCCTGAGCTGGGCAGGGCCAGGTGCCACCCTCCACGCCAGGAGCTGGGATTGGGTCCCTTGTGCTGCTGGGGGGACACCGGGCTCTGTCCTGGGCGTGCCCGGGTGGCTCCAGAGCTTCCCCAGGAACCGCAGATGGAGCCGGGAGTGGGAAATGATGGGGAATGGGGAATAATGGGGAATGGGAATGGGAATGGGAATGGGAATGGGAATGGGAATGGGAATGGGAAATAATGGGGAATGAGGAATAATGGGGAATGGGGAATGGGGAATGAGGAATAATGGGGAATGGGAAATGGGAAATGGGAATGGGAAGGGCTGCCATGTGTTTTTGGGATGTGGAAGGAATCTTGTCCCTGTCCATGGAACCGCTCCAGCCCCTGGGATTGCTGCCCCTCAGGTCCCTCCTCAGCCAAGCCCCCCTCAGGTCGCACTCGCCACTTTGGAGCCAGGTTGGTTTGTCCAGGTGATTCTGGTTGGTTCCTCCACGCTTGGAAGGTTCCCAGGGACAGCGAAACCCAAAGCCAAGGCTGGGCAGGGGACTGGGATCTCAGCACTGAGGTTTGGGGTGTTCCCAGCCATGCAATCCGGCTTCTCCCCCTCCCTCCCTCCCTCTTGGGCAGCTCTTCCTCAGCTGGGACCGGGGTCAGGGTGGGTTTGTGTCGCTGCTCCCGCTCTCCCCTTTTTCCTCTTGCTCATCCCAGCTCCTCTCCATGCTCCAGCCCGGGAATCTCCTGTTGGGGTCCCACACATCCCCCAGACCCCCTTTTCCCCCTAAAGCTGTTCCTAAAGCCCAGTCTGGGGCTCCCAGCACTCCCTGTCCCCACCAGGGTGTTTCTGCCGCAGGGCGTGGCCAGGAGGGCCCAGGTGAGGCCCTCAGGTGAGGCCAGGGAGGGCTCAGAGCCGTTTTGGGGGATCCCTGGGGGGTGCAGGGTGCAGCAGCTCCTCCCGTGGCGTGGGGGGGCCCGGGTGTCCATCCGGGGCAGGGGGAGCTGAGCTCGGGGCCGTCCCCTCCGGTTCCCCCGTTTGCTGTGGGGGCCTTGGCGCACCAGGAACGAGCAAAGGCTGGAAAATCCAGGACTGGGCTTTGTCTGCTGGGGCTGTCCTGCCTCGCTGCTCTTCCCGGGAATCCTGGTGGTCCCCTCGGGATGGGGCTGCAGGAGCAGCTCCCCCCGTCCCTCCCTGCCCCGAGCTCCCCATTCCCACATCCCCCATCGCCAGTGCCTTGAAAACTCTGCAAATCCCGAAAAAGGAAAGCTCCAAAGGTGGTCAGGGACAAGCAGGAGCGAGCTGAGTCCGGGTCCGGCCGTACCTGGGTCACTCACAGGGTTGGAGCTTCCCGTGCCCATTCCCCGTGTGTTTTACCCCAAAAGCAGCCCCGCCTCGCTTTGTCACCAGTTTTGGGGCAACCCCCCCCGATTCTGCTCCGTGCCGATTCCTCCCCGGCCCCGCTCGGCAGCGCCGGGCGCCTGCACTTTGCTCTGCCAGCCCCGGCCATCCCGGGGGCCGAGCCTCCCTCCCGTCCCCTCTCCTGTCCCCTCCTGTCCCCTCCTGTCCCCTCTCCCTGCCGGGACCCGCGGCCCCCGGGGGCTCCTCGCGGCTCCGCGGGGTCCGAAGGCTCCGGTGGGGCCGGGCTGGGGCAGCGCGGGGAGCGGGATCGGCTGCGGGGTTTGGGGTTTGTGGATTTTATGGAATTCTGGATAGGAACGGGTGGATGGCTGCAGACCCCGGGGGAGCTGCTGCTCCCTCCCTCCTCCTCCTCCCTCTTCAGCCTCCAAATCCCCGCGGATCGGGCGGGCTGGGAAGAGTTGGTCCCATTTCCCCCCCGCCCCGGTGTTTGGTCCGGGATTCTTGGCCCGGATGGGAATTGTGACATTTGGGGGCTCCTGGACCCGTTCCTGCTCCGTTCGCCCCAGGGGGACCCCAAATCGAGCCCGGGAGGTGCCGAAGGGACACGGGACGAGGGTCCCGGGCGCGCCCCCCACCCCCAGCTGCTTTGTGCCACGAGCTTTGACGATCAATAATGGAAGAAGCCAAAAAGGACCCCGAGTACCTGTGTAGTATCTTATCAGTCCATATCGACGCGTATACGCACCCATGTATCGTAGAGCGGCCGCCGCGGGTCCGAGCCGAGCCCCGCAGCCCCCGAGGGACCCCCGGCCCGCCCGGGCTCCTGTGAGCGGGTCCTCACAGCCCCGCGGGGCCCGGGGCCGCGGGGGGACCCGGAGGACTCGTCCCAGCCTCCCCCGTCCTCGGCCGTGTCATACCAAACATGTAACGTGCCTTTTATTTATGCTGCAAATATAACATTAAATATTACCCAGGAGCCGCCGGCTGCTGCCCTTTGTGGGGGGTGCGGGCTGGGGACACCCCGGGGTTCACCGGGGTGTGGGTGGCACCGGACCGAGGGTGACACCGGCTGGACGCGGGACTGCCGCCCGCCGCAGTGTCCCGGGGCGCCCCCGGGTGCGATTTTTGGGGCGATTTCGGCCGGTTTGGGGTCGGGGGAGCCGCGGCCGCGCCGTCGGGGCTGCAGGAGCGCGCAGCGACCACCGGGGGGCGGCAGCGAGACCCGGCCGAGCTGGGGGACCGGGAGGGGTCTGGGGGTGATGGGGAACCGGGGAAGGGGTCCCGGTGTGGGGGTGGGTGGGGAACCGGGGAAGGGGTCCCGGTGTGGGGCTGGGTGGGGAACCGGGGACGGGTCCCGGTGTGGGGCTGGTCGCGGGACAGGGGAGGGGTCCCGGTATCAAAGGCTCCTGGCCTGGTGAGGTCCCGGTGCAGTTCGGGGGTCCCGGGGCTCTCGCTCCGCAGCCCCGGCGGTTCCGGTTGCGGGGCCCGGGCGGGGCGGGCGGTGCGGGGCTCCCCTGTCCGCTCATCCATCCGTCCGTCCGTCCGTCCCCGGGGGCGGCTGTCGCGGCTGCTAAATGGGTTTCATTAACGGCGGCGGGGCCGGGGCTGCTCCCGCCGCTCCCCCGGGACCCCCGGCCCGGCTCGGCCCGGCTATAAGAGGCGGCGGCGGCGGCGGGGCGGGGGCGATGGCGATGGCCATGGCGGGGCGCCCGGCGCTGCTCCTGCTGCTGCTGCTGCTGCTGCTGGCGGGGACCCCGCGCTCCGCCCGCGCCTGTCCCGGGACCCCCGGCCCGGCCCCGGTGAGCCCCGGCCCGGCCGCGCCGTCGGGTCCGGTTTGTGGGGGGATGCTCGGGGTTTGGGTCGGGGGTCGCTGTGCGGTTCCAGGACCGATGCGAGCCCCGCTCCTCCCCCGCCTCAGGCCGCCGCCGCCGCCCCCCCGGGGCCGCCCCCCGGGGCCGCCGCCGCCGCCGCCCTGGGAGCGCTGCTCCGGTCCCTGCGGCGCCCCGGCCGCGCCCCCGGGGCCCCCCGGCCGCCGCCGAGGTGAGCGGGGATGGGGCCCGGCCGGGATCGGGGACAGCGCGGCCCCAAACCCAGCGGGAGGTGGGACAGGGGTGTTTGGGGTGCCTGAGAAGGCTCGGGGGTGCGGGGATGGGGGCTCCATTTCGTGTCCGTGTTCAGCCCATTCCCATCCGTCCGTCCGTCCATCCCCATCCCTCTGTCTGTCCCCATGGCGTCCCCGGTGCGGATTAACGGTGCCGTGTCCCCCCGCAGGTCGGGCTGGGGGCCGCAGGGGGGTCCCCAGGCCCGGCTCAGCCCCCGCAGCTGGGACCCCCCGGCGGCCCCGTTCTGGACCATGGCGACCCCGCAGCGCTTCGGCCGCCGCCGCTGAGCCCGGCCCCGAGCCCGGCCCGGCGCCTCGGGGGCTCCGTCTGTCCCCCAATAAAGCGATTTGTCCCCCCCAGCCCGAGCCCTGCTCTGGTCCTGCCCCGGGATGGGTGGGGGGGACGCGGCTCCCGCCCTCCTCCGCGCCCCAGGCGCCGCCGGCCCCAAGCAGACACGGACACGGGGAGTACAAACCCCCCCAGCTTTATTCTGGGGGGCCGATGGCACCCGGGGACCCTCCAGAACGGGGGCCAGGCTGGAGGGGGGCCCCGGGCCCTGAGGTCTGTCTGTCTGTCTGTCTGTCTGTCCGTCCACCCGCAGCAGGGTCGGGGCGGTGGCCGCGGGTGGGGGCTGCGTCCAGAGGGTCCGAGCGCTGCCCGGGGGCTCCGGGGGCAGCTGCGGCCACTGCCCCGGCGGGGCTCGATTGCCCCGGGCAGGGTTTGACTGCCCCGGGCAGGGCTCCCTTGCCCCGGGCAGGGTTTGACTGCCCCGGGCAGGGCTCCCTTGCCCCGGGCAGGGCTCCCTTGCCCCGGCAGGGCTCGCTGCCCCCGGGCTGGGCTCACTTGCCCCCGGCCATGATGCGCAGGTACTGCAGCGCGTTCCGGGCCGCCTGGGCGCGGGCGCCGTCGCGGGACGGGGCCGACCCGTGGCACACCGTGGTCGGCTGCGTGGAGAGCTCCACCAGGCACTGGTGCAGGCCGCTGAGGCTCAGCGCGTCTGGGGGCACAGCGGGGTCACCCCACGGCCCCGGGCACCTCCGGGGCAGCCGCGGGGGGCCGGGGCCGGGCTGAGGGGGCCCGGGGCTCACCGATGTCGAGGTAGCTGATGGCGAAGCTCTGCTCCTCCGAGAGCTCCTGCAGCAGGGCGCAGGCGCCCCCCGGCGCGGCGCTGCCCCCGCGGCTCCGCAGCTGGCCCAGCTTCTCGCCCGCCGAGTTGCGCAGCGAGTCCCAGGTGCAGCCGGGGGCGCGGCCCCGCAGCCCCTCCAGCCGGGGGCACGTCTGGGGAGGGGGCACCGGGGCTCGGGGACCTGCCCAGGCCCCGGGGTCTGCCCCGACCCCACCCCCTGAGGTGTGGGAACCCCCCCGGCAACCGCAGGACACCCCCGGGGCCACCCACAGCCCCAAACCCAGCGGTGCCCTCCCCACGGCCTGGAGCAGGGGGCAGAGGGGACTCTGGGGTGCTCTGGGGGACTCTGGGTGGCTCTGGGGGACTCTGGGGTGCCCCTGGGTGAGTCCAGGGCGTCTCTGGGTGCCCCTGGGTGAGCCCAGGGTGTCTCTGGGTGCCCGTGTCCCTCCCAGTGCCCCCAGTACCATGTTGAACTGGTCCTCCTCGCCCTCGGCCTCGCTGCCGTCGCGTGGCTCCATGGGGACGTTGTGGATCCTCACCAGCATCTTGGCGGCCGCGTTGCGCTTGGCCAGCTTCTTGGAGGTGCCGCTGCCTGGGGAGGGGCTGGGCGTGAGCTGGGACCCCCGGAGCCCTGCCCGGGACCCCCGGGACCCCCGGGGCCCTCACCGATCTCCACGAACCGCTCCACCCGGCAGGTCATGGTGAACTCCTTGCGGTGCGCCGGCCCCGACTCCTGCGTCACCGTGTACTCGGGCAGGCGCCAGCCCTTCTGCACCACCAGCTCCTGAGGGGACACGGACACACCTGGGGACACGGCCAGCCCTGGGGACACGGCCAGCCCACGTGGGGACATGGGGACATGGACACCCCTGGGGACACGGCCAGCCCTGGGGACACGGCCAGCCATGGGGGGACACGGCCAGCCCACGTGGGGACAGCCCCGAGCCACCGTCAGCGCCCCCACACCGGGGCAACAGCCTCCAAAATGGAGATAGCAGCCCCAAACGGGGATAAACGGCCCCAAAATGGGGATAATTGTCCTCAAAATGGGGATAACCAGCACCAAGATGGGAATAATGGCCCCAAAATGGGGATAAGCAGCCCTAAAACAGACATAACTGTCCCCAAATGGGGATAACCGGCACCAAGAAGGGAATAATGGCCCCAAAATGGGGATAATTGTCCTCAAAAGAGGGATAACCCACCCAAAGCAGGAATAAATGTCCCTAAACAGGAATAAGCAGCCCCAAAATAGGAATGATTGTCCCTAAATGGGGATGAGCAGCCCCAAAAGGGGAATGACTGTCCCTAAATGGGGATGAGCAGCCCCAAAAGGGGAATGACTGTCCCTAAACAGGGATGAGCTACCCCAAAATGGGAATGACTGTCCCTAAATGGGGATGGGCAGCCCCAAAAGGGGAATGACTGTCCCTAAATGGGGATGAGCAGCCCCAAAAGGGGAATGACTGTCCCTAAATGGGGATGGGCAGCCCCAAAATGGGAATGACTGTCCCTAAATGGGGATGGGCAGCCCCAAAAGGGGAATGACTGTCCCTAAATGGGGATGGGCAGCCCCAAAATGCAGGTAACTGTCCCCAAAACAGCAACAACTGTCCCAACATGAGGAGGAGCCCCCAGATGCCATCGTGCTCCCCCCACCCCGCAGATGGGTGAGGTCCCCCCCACCCAGGGCCGTGTCCCCCAGCCCGGGCAGGTGGGTGGGGTCGCTCGGTGTCCCCTGGTGTCCCCCCCCGAGGTGGCACCCACCTGCAGAGCCCCCACGGGGTTGCACTCGGCCTGGGGGGGGGACACCGGCGTCTTCATCTCCAGGGGGGGGCCCCTGTGGGGCACAGGGGTCAGGGGGCACCCACAGAGGGGCCGGGGGCGTTTGGGGGGGGCGGGGACACGGTGGCCCCCCTTACCTGGGCGAGGGGGGGGGCGCGGCGGGGGCCGGGGGGGGCGCAGCGGGGCCGGGCTCTGCGGGGGCCTCCGGGGGGAACGGAGAGCTGGGGGGGGGGGCAGGGGTCAGAGACACCCCCAGGCATTAGGGGGACCCCCAGATTCCCCTGAACCGCCAGACTGCCCTGGGAGACCCCAGAGCCCCCCAGATTCCCCTGGGAACCCCAGACCCCTCCCCCAAATTCCCCTGGGAACCCCCAGACCCCCCTGGAACCCCAGACTGCCCTAGGAGCCCCCAAAGCCCCCCAGATTCCCCTGGGAGACCCCAGACCCTCCTGAACCCCCAGATTCCCCTGGGAACCCCCAGACCCCCCTAAGCTCCCCTGGGAGCCCCCAGACCCCCCCCCCCAGGAACCCCCAGACTCCCCTGAGAGCCCCCCCAGACCCCCCCGAGCTCGGCAGAGCCCTCACACCCCGCAGGATCCCGCAGCCCCCCTTGGGTGCCCCCAAACTACTCGGGATGTCCCCCAGAGCCCCCCAGAGCCCCCCGGTACCCCCAGATCCCCCCCAGCCCCACCTGTGCTCCAGGGGCTCCAGCATGGCCCCCCCCCCTCTGAGCAGCCTCAGGGCCACCTCGGCCGCCTTGTGCTTGGCCGCCTTCTTGCTGGGACCCTGCCCTGGGGGACACACAGGGACCCTCAGGGACCCCTCAGGGACACCGGGGGGGCCCTGCGAGCTTTGGGGTCTCACCGGTGCAGCTGATGGGGGGGACAGGGTGGGGACACGAGGGGCAGGGTGGCCCAGGACAGCTCCCCAGGGGCGTCCCTGGGTTTGGGGTCCCACCGGTGCAGCTGATGTCCCCGAGGGGACAGGAGGGACAGGGTGGCCTGGGGCCCTTCTGGGGGCTCCCCAGGGGGGTCGGGGTCCCACCGGTGCAGCTGATGTCCCCGAGCGTGACGCGGAAGGTGAAGTTGGGCTGGTGGGCCTGGCCCTCGGCCTTGAGCAGGTCGTAGCCCGGGGTCCGGCCTAGGCGAGTGCCATACTCCTGCAGGAGGCTGATGGGCGTCTTCCCGGGGCTGGCCGCCACCATCTGCTCCAGGCTGGGACACGGACAGCGACAGGGGGTGGGACACGGCGGCGACAGGGACACGGGACAGGGGTGGCACTGCCGCAGAGCGTGGGGACACGGGGGGACATCATGGGGTGGCATTTGTGCGTGCTGTGGTGACACGGGGACGGGGATGGAGCCCCAGCAGTATGAGGGGAAGCGGTGGCACTGCCACACAGCCTGGGGACACGGTCCAGGGATGGAGCCCCGGCACAGCGTGGGGACAGGGGCACGGGGGTGGCACTGCCAGCCGGGACACGCGTGGCACGGCCGGGACACGGGCAGGGGATGGCAGTGCCACACACCGCGGGGACACGGGCACGACACGGGCAGGGGATGGCAGTGCCACACATCGCGGGGACACGGGGACAGGGATGGGGCCCCGGCTCCCCGTGGGGACAGGGGCACGGGGGTGGCACTGCCAGCCGGGGACACGGCCAGGGGATGTCGCCGGGACACGGGGACAGGGACGGCGGTGCCACACACCGCCGGGACAGCGCCGTCCCCCCTCCCTCTCCCCTCCCCTGCCCCGCCCGAGCCCGGCCTAGGCCGCCCCCACCCCGCCCGCCGCCGCCAGCGGGGGGCCCCGGGCGGTGCCGGGCAGCCCCGGTGGGCCCCGGGCGGAGCCGCACAGCCCCGGGGGGCCCCGGGGGTCCCGGTACCTGGGGAAGGCGCCGCCGCTCCGCCGGGCCCCGCCCGCCCCCTCCTCGCTCATCCCCGCCGCTCCGGCCGCCGCCCGCGCCGCCAGGGGGCGCGCGGCATCACGGGAGCGCCGCGCCGCGCGGGGGGCGATGGGAACTGTAGTCCGCCCGCAGGGCGCGCGGCCGCCGCCACCCTCCGGCGGACTACACTTCCCATAACCCCCCGCGCCAGGAGGAGGGCGGGAACGCGGAGGAGGCGGGAAGCGGGGTCACGTGGTGCTGGAGGGGCGGGGAGGGGGCCGTGCCTCAGTTTCCCTCGAGAGGGGTCAGGGGACAATGGGGACAATGGAGACAGTGGGGACATGGGAACATTGGGGGGCAATGGGGACAATGGCGATAATGGGTACAGTGGGGGATAATGTGGACAGTGGGGGCAATGGGGACATTGGGGACAGTGGGAACACCAGGGACAATGCGGATACTGGGGACAGTGGGGACAGTGCGGACATGGGG